TTATTCTGAATGAGAAATTAATTTTATAATTTATATATAAACTTAATTAACTAAAAAAAAAAAAAAAGATTTTGATAAACTTTAAAATTAAATACCGAATACGTATTATCATTATATTATCATAATAATAAATAAATAAAATTTAAATTCGTACTAAGATAGAAAAAAGTAAAATTTAAATATGTATTATGATAAAAAAAAAAATAAACATTTTAGATAACATTAAGGTTTGATATTACACGAATATATAAAAATAGTTGAGTTGCTCATATTTCAAGCCATAACCGAAATTCGACGAAGACCGGAATTGAATCTTATTATAACTGCCACTACAATCTAGGGAGCAAACAATGAAATTTTATTCGAATTAACTTAATATAAATTCATCTAACGCAAACGCGCGAAAAAAAAAATAAAAAATAAGTTAAATGAATATTACAAATCAAGGTTGTATTACAATTCACGTATTGTGTAATCAAATTATTTAATCTACCTAGATTAGGTAAAATTATTATTGTCATTGAGTATCCGTACAGTAAGAATATCGAAGGTTCACTGGAAATTCGAAGGTTCATTGGAAATAAGAATGAAATATAATAAAGAGTTAAAACATGAAATATAATAAAGGATCAAAAAAAGTACTGTCAAAATGATTTAAATGGTAAAAACCTAAAGTCTTTTATAATATCACATGTAAATTTGTTAATTCTTATTGTCTTTAGGTACTTTCTTTAAATTTTCAAACAGTTTGTTTGTGTTATTACTTTAATTAGATATTATTATCATTAAGCAAATTATCCGATAACAGCTAATTCAACTTTAGACTTACTTCACTTAAGATGGAAAACGATTTAATTCAGAATAATCATTACTATATTTGAAGTAATAAACGTTTGACATGTACAGTACATGTTTTCTAACTACGTAGAAAAGTGAAACCTAACTAGAAAAGTGAAATCTAACTAGAAAAGTGAAATCTAACTATAAAAGTGAAATTTAACTATAAAAGTGAAATTTAACTATAAAAGTGAAATTTAACTATAAAAGTGAAAAAAAAGCGGATACGTGCAAAACATACTAAGTTCGTAAATCAATAATATTATCATTTTATTCACGTCATTTATATCGTGACTTTTATTTATACTGAATACAACTTAAAGGACAAAATTACGCCTAAACAATATTTATGTCAGTGAATGTTGTACGTGCACATAAGGCATCTCTTTAATTTTAAATTATTACTAGATTCAGAATGAATAGACACTTTTGTATCGGATGCATAAAAATATCTCATTTTGACGCTCATTTTAGGATAGTCTTATTCGGAGCAAATTGACCGCCACGAGAAACCGCTATTGATCACGTGGCCTAACTTTACGATTCATTTTAATACTGTGTAATATACGTGTGTATATATTACATATTCGATATATATATATTATATATAATATTTAAATTCTTTATTTTTATTCCGAATACAATCAATTCATAACATAATATATAGATTTTGCCTTTTTTTTTTTTTTTTTGTTGAGTTTATATATGTGGAAGGAGGAAAAAAAAACAGGTATACTCTGCAATTTGTTTGACATACATTAAAAAGAAAATCATAATTGTATTCATAATTATATCAATTCGTAGTAATAAAATCAAAGGAAAATTAATAAAAAAAAATCTATAGCTTATTAAAATATTGTTGGTTATGATATTTATTTGTAGTTACACGTATTTCAACTTGTCTCTGGATATCTTCGAGACTCATAACTGAATAATTTTCTACAGTCTTGAACCATTTATTCCTGGCCTGAAAATTTTATTAAAATTATGATTAAATTACAAGAAATTACAAGAAATAATTAAATTTTATTTTTAATAAAGAATAATATTCTAACCTCAATTCCTTTATATGTTTTTTCAAGTGAATCTGCCAAATCTTCGATCTTGCGAAATTCCTTATTAAGCATGTTTATACAATTTGAAGACTCTTTGCACTTTGGACATGCACGAGTTGATGTAGATTTTGAAGCAGATGGATTTGGGTATGGATCCGCTTCAGATTTAACATGCTTTACTTGCTTGTTTTTAATTACGCGACCCGAAGCATTAGTCTTTATGCTACGGGTATTATAAGGTGCACTACCATTTATTTCTTGTTCATATCTTATAGACATGACTTTATTTTTGATTAGTAAATTACTGAATTACGTTATAAATATATACTAAAAAGGAAGAGGCTTATTTGATTAATCATGAAATTTTTTTTTTTTTTCTTTTTTTTTTTTTTTTTTTTCTTAAAGAATCATACAAAGCAACTCAATAAAGTCTTGTGTTTTTCTTTTAAAGAGAAGTGATTTTATATCTAAAAATTCTGAATGTAACTTTTTCAAAAAGTTTTTTTTTTTTTTTTTTTAACAATCTAAATATAGAGGCTCATTTATGTGTATTTGCCGCACGGATTTCATTTTCCGCTTGTCACGTGATTAAATTATCCGATCGAATAGTGTCAATAATCAAAAATGTAAATATTAAAAAAACGAATCTTAATAAAATCTCTTTTATATACTTGAACAAAGCCCCAATTGAACGGGCTGTGCGACTTGTAAAAAAATTATAAGAGAGACGTGCGGCTATGTAACTTTAAGTAATTATTTTGATCGCGTACTTATTTTCCTGTTTGTTACAACAATCGATGTTAACTGCCACCATTATATTTGCTATATGCTTTGATCAATCGATCTGCTCAAAGATCTGAGCCACTTTATTATTGGTTTAAAAAAAAAATTTTTTTTTATCAAGTCTGAAATTTTTGACAACGGGATCTTCTTTTTACTTTTACAAAAAAAAAAAACGATTTGTTTTAAATTTACAATTTTGGATAATTATTTAATCAAAATTGATGATTTTTATTTAATAGGTAATTTTTGTTTTACATGCGCATTATTTACCAGTGATCGAATCGATCAATCTAAATACGTTTAAAATTCTATGATATGCGATCTTTTTTTCAATTAATCATGTGTCGTATGTCAGAGAATTCTAAAAAAAATAATACTTTTTATGATATTATATATCATATGGTTACTGATGATTATCTATATATAATATGCTTTACTTAGCATATAAACACAAAAACCTCGAAAGTCATGATCACCACGCAGCGGAGAACGCGTCCGCTTGTTATGGATATATTATTTTATATAATAATTTATTTGATATTTTCTATGCAAGCACAAGCGGCATTTCGAATGTTCACCTCAGTTGAAACTCAAAATAATCTTAATCCCGTAAACTTAGTTACTTACCCTAATGACTTTATTGGCGTTCGATTATCTTATAATTTAACTTGTTCAAATAATACTATTACAATAATTCCTCTTCGTTTCATTTCTTTAAATGGAACGTTTAATATTGTAAATTTAAATTATACTTTACCTCCAGTTAATTATTGTCCTACAAATCTGACAAATACTACCTCGTCAGACAAAATTAATATTTTTACATTACCAGGTATGATATTAAAAAATCAATCGAATTGCAAACATACATATATACATACGTACACGTTGGATTCTGATAATACACACATTATCTACACATAAATACATACATACATACATACATACATATATACATACGTATGTAAATTATTTCAATTATTTTCAGATAATTTCTTATTAATTCGTCATTGGAGACTCCTTGATGGCTCTTCAAATATGGTTGAATATTATGGCCTTATCACTTCAAATTTGGGTTTTATAACAAATAAGTAGGTGATGTTTTTTTTTGATGCTCCTATGAACTCTTTCAA